TGACCAAAAGGGAAAAATGAAGATAACAGCAGCCTTAAGTCTGCTTACTGAAACTCTTTGCCAGGCTTTTACTAAGCTGAGTAGTTTGTAGAAGGTAGTTGCTTACAATACGTTAAGTTGCCTAAAATACCAGTGCTTTGTTTTCCCTGCCTCCTGTGTTAGATGATGACAGCGAGCCCATCCTTGGGCAGTGGTTTGAAGAGACCATCTCCCCGAGCAAGGAGAAGGTGGCTCCCCCCCCCCCCCCCCCCCCCCCGCCGCTGCAGAGCTGCCCTCGGGTGAAGAGCCCCAGCAAACAGACTGCCGGAGAGAACGGGAACATCCTGGCCAGCCGCAAAGATCCCGAGCTGGTAGGGGAGAACTTCACAGATCGTGAAATAACCAGTGTTTCCTAGCACTGTGTACCCGTCAGTGACCAGCTGCATTGACAGATAATGTACTTAAAGCATCTCACATTTATCACACTGTGATAAACGTGATACAGAATTGGTGACTGGACTTTTCTCTCTGGAGAAATATCCTAGTGTTTGTTATTGCCAGGGAGAGACGGTATCCATTTGCGTTATAGAGGGAACTATAAATAAGATACCCAATGGAGTTGTTAAAAGCAAGTAAAGCTGAAACCTAGTGCTGCAGATAAGGGGCTTGCAGACTTTACAGGGAATTGTAAAATCAGGTCTGATAAAGAACACAGTAAGAGTGCAGTGAGCTGGATTGTGGTGAGTAAAACTAATCTGCATTCCCCTGCCAGGGTGTAGTTAGGGCCTTTGGTTTATTTTGCTGCTTTAGGGACAGTTTTGGTTTTGTTTAAATGCTTGCTTGCACACCTTCTGTTTTTGTTGCTTCTATAGTGCATTTCTCTCTCTCTTTTCAGTTTCTGAGCCTAGCTTCAAACATTTTGAACTTTATTACTTCTTCTATGCTGAACTCCAGGAATAACTTCATTCGCAACTACCTGAGCGTGTCTCTTTCGGAGCAGCACATGGCTACCCTGGCAAGCATCATCAAGGAGGTGGATAAAGATGGGCTGAAGGGTGAGTGAGTGAGATCAGCATGTACAGACATTTATTTTCTTTGTTCTGTGTGACAGTTTTAATCACAGCAGTAGTAAATGACTTGATCTCTGTGTCTCAGGCACATCAGATGAGGAGTTTGCTGCTGCACTGTATCACTTTAACCACTCCTTGGTGACCTCAGATCTTCAGTCCCCTGCCTTGCAGGTTAGTCTGTGATGGATGTGTAAATAAAACAAAGACTCGGTGTAGATTAGTGGCTCCATGTGGACTATCTGCACCTAGAATAGTCTGTCAGTGACTCCATTTGGTCCCAGCATATGCTTTTGAGAAGAGAACTTGTGATATTTTGAATGCAGGAAGTTGGGTGAGTTTTGCAGTCATCCAGTACAAAACATGCTGCAGAGTGTAAACTTTATGCCCACTGGACTTTGAAGGTGATGAAAACTGAAAAGGAAATGGATTTGTGGGTTTTGTTTTGCAGAGTTGCCTCTACCCATGCCTTTACCAAGAGACATTTCTTGCTTGGTTATCACAGCTGATACCAAAAGGCCTTGGAGTTTTCTCAGGAGAGAATCAAATTAATCCCTTTGCTTTCATGTGCTAACTTTGTAGCCTCTAGGTTTCTTTGCTAGGTCATGTGCTGACCTGGCTTAACAAATTAAGTAGGAGTTGTAAATCTGCTTACCAATCAGTGAATTCAATCCCTTTATCTTTCTGATGACTCTTTTCTACTGTATTTAAAATACTTTTTTAAGCAGTCAGACTCTCAAGGTAGAATCTTGCATTTGTGGTGTATCTGAAAAGATGCAGTCATCAGCATGATCAGAAAAAGGGGTCGTCTTCCAAATTCTTAGATTTTAAACATAGTATTTTTCTCATTTGATGCTGAGATAAATACAAACAACATTTTCTCTGGCAGTTTTAAAGGGCACTGAATGAAAAGCCTGGACTGTTTTTAATTCTCTTTTTTGGGGGTCTAGTGAAGTGTTTTCCTTTCCTAAGCTCTTTGTTTCTTATTGTCACCATTGGAGAAATACTATATCCTCCAGTGCCATTGCTGATCTGTTGTGATGTTTTACAACTCGAAGAATGCTTAGTTGTAGTACGAGTAAATGCAGACCCTGCAAGGCATAATCTCTTCTGCTAGAATTTTACTGTAAATGAATAAAACTCATTAATACCACTTTTAATTTTTCCTGCATTTGCAATGTAATTGAAAGGTGGTTATATTTTAGGTGGTAAACTGAAAACATAAAATCTCTCAATACCTATGCCAGATACTCTAGATGGGAGAAATAGTGATGTATTAACCCTTTATAACCCCTGAGAGTCCTACTGAGATCTCTACTGTTTATTGCCATCTTTGAACATGTATATCCAAAGGATGCTGAGCACTTAGGCAGCTGGTAGGACTTGCCTCTGCAACGACCTCTTGTTTTGTTCCAGAACACACTGCTTCAGCAGCTGGGAGTTGCTCCTTTCTCGGAAGGCCCATGGCCTCTCTACATCCATCCTCAAAGTTTATCGGTGCTATCTCGACTTCTCCTCATTTGGCAGCACAAAGCCAGTGCACAGGGAGATCCCGATGTCCCAGAGTGCCTTAAAGTTTGGGAAAGGTGAGATAATTTTATGTTAAACTGAAAGGCAGTCCTCTCTCATCTCCCTGATGTTCTGTTAAATGACAATTCTCCTGGACCAGCTTATTGGATATGTCTTCTCTGAACAGTAATAGCTATGCAATACTCAGAGGAGCTCAGCACTATTCTGTGTTGCTGGAATTATTTTTCTGCTGTATAGGAAATGAAATCAGTCACTGGAATTAGAATTTAAGTAGGTGGAAGCTGGAAAAAGTACAGCAGTGCTGATTTTAGAAAGGAAAAGTGAACATCTTATTTCGGCATGGCTCCGGTGATGGTCCCAAGCCTTTTCCCGCTCTGTCCTTACCTGGATGTGAGAGCCTCAAGTGGGGTTTAGCCGACTTACAGTGATGAATTATTTGTGACATTGCCCATGTTATTTAGAAGTATAAGTGGAAAATGATCATTCAAATGTTTCTTGAATGTCTAGTTGAAGCGACTTTAAGAAGGGGTCTAAACAAGGAGAAATACATGTCCCTCCTCCTTATTGCCAGGTTTGTGGGCACACTGAAGCAGAATGCCTTGCAGGGGACTCTTCCCGGTGACACAGAAGACCTGAATGTTGAACATCTGCAGCTGCTGCTGCTGATTTTTCACAATTTCTCAGAGCGGGGGCGCAGATCCATCTTGACGCTCTGTATCCAGACAATCCTGGAGCTGACAGTGAACATGGATACGCAGCTGTGTTTTGTACCACTTATTGTGGCTCGTCTGCTCTTGGTGTTTGACTACCTGCTCCATCAGTATTCCAAAGCCCCTATGTATCTGTTTGAACAGGTAAGATTTTGTGGTCGTGTTTGGAGTATTTATTTGGTTGTTCAGCAGAAATCTGTCAGATAATCATCTGATGTGTTGTGGTCTCTTTGAGGCCGTTGAAAGTAACTCAGTTTTGATTTTATTAACAGTCTTTGGACTAGTAAAGAGTGAATAATTGCAGCTGCTAATTCCCTAGTAGTAGATCCATGTACAGTGTAAATTCCTGATATAACTGCTGTCCTAAAAAACACAAAAGCAAGGGCAACGGGCAAGTTGAAAGCCCACCTTATCCTCAAAGGCATGAGTATTTGGGATGTTTAGGCACTGTTTCATGAATGCCTTGTGCACAGTCGTCACTTTAGCTTTTCCCTGTTGGATTTGTTTGGCACTCTTCTTATCAACGGGTTGCTAGTGTTTGGCTTTTTTAATTGTTGGAATCATGACCGTTGATTTAAACTGCTTACTCTAAAATAAAAGCTACCAGGTTTGGCCCAGGGCTTCCCTCCGAGGCTGGGGAAAGTTTGCATTTTAGTAGTGGAGTGGTTTGGGATTTACGGGATTCTATCCCCTGCCTTAATAATGAGGATGCCTTTTTTTTTTTTTTTTTTTTTTTTGGTTTGGTTTGCTGTTTTTCACTTAGGTGCAGTATAATTTGCTGACTCCACCCATTGGCTGGGTGAGTGGATCCCCAGAGAGCAGCAGACGAAGCTCTGTCCCACTCTATCATGGATTTAAAGAAGTGGAAGAAAACTGGACCAAACACTGCTCATCAGGTCAGGGAGGGAAAAGTTAGAGACCTATTTAAGTCTTTAGAATATGAAAGAATTTGGGGAAATGGAAGGGAGAGGGCAAAATCTGTCACTTTGAATGTTATTTTCTCTGCTCCTGTTCCAGATGCAGTTCCACAGCCCAGGTTCTACTGCATCCTATCTCTAGAAGCTTCTGAAGATGACTTGAACCGTCTAGATAGCTCGGTATTGGAATTCTTTTCAATTCTTTTTTTTTTTTTGGATGTTGTTGAAAGACCTAAGCAGAGACAAACTTAAAAGCTTTTGGGTGAAGCAGTCCTCGCTCATCTAGTCCCGATGTCTTGGTAGCTTATTTGAGAAAAATCAAGGCTGCCTGGATTGTACTGAAATAAAGATTAGCTGAAGAGGCAACAGAATGTTTTCTGTTGATTTGTAGCACAATTCCATGCGAGTGTGCTATGACCAAAGGCCCTATTGCATCAGTACTGGTTTTCAGTGCTGCTGAAGACAAAGACACCAGGCAGTGAAGTTGCTTTACTTCCTTTTGCTCTCTGTTTTTCCTGGATTTTGTTGTCATTAATGTGCAGCATGTATTAACACTGCACTGACACTCTCACTAGGCAGTGAAACAGGAAGGTTTGACTGTATAAAATGGTCCCTGATGCAGCTGCAAGGTAACGATTCCAACTTGGCATCTCTTGCAGGTTTGCGACGTCCTTTTCGCTAGGACTATGAAGTACGATGAGCTTTACACAGCCCTGACCTCGCTCCTTGCAGCTGGCTCACAGTTTGATACACTGAGGAGGAAAGAGAACAAAAATGTCACTGCACTGGTGAGGCTCTGTGTGCTGCTGTAATGTTGTGGGCGTGGAGAAAACAGAGGTTGTCTTCTATAAAAGCTAGTCTAGACAGTGGTTGGAGGAATGAATAAATTAAAAATCTTATGTCTAACAGTAATGCTTTTGGCAGCAGTAAGTTTTCTGTGAATTTTTAATTCACAACATGATTTGGACTTGCTGTATGTCCCTGAGGATTTCAAGAAGTTTGACTGAAATATGATGAGGCAAAATATGTTTGTGTAACTTTATTTTTCCTCACTCGTCTTTAGTCAGTGAGGTAATTCTGCCGAATCTGCTCCTGCTCCGTGCCCTCCTCCCCTTTTTAATTAAATTTTACAGAATCACAGAATGGTTAAGGTTGGAAGGGACCTCCAGAGATCATCAGTGTGTCAGAAACTCAGTCCAGCATGTGTCCTCTGATTTGGCACATCCGTGGAAGTCCAAGAAGTCTTGATGAGATAACATTACAGTGGCTGTAGCACCTGCATTAGCAATTTTTCTTTACTAATATACTCAACTGTGCTTCCCTTTAGGAGGCCTGTGCGCTTCAGTACTACTTCTTGATTCTGTGGCGGATACTAGGGATTCTGCCTCCATCCAAAAACTACATGAATCAGCTGGCCACGAACACGCCAGAAATGAGCGAATGTGACATTTTACACACGTTGCGCTGGTCTTCCCGTCTGCGCATCGCATCCTATGTCACGTGGATCAAGGTACAGTCTTGTGTATAGGGCTGTTTTGCAGCATTGCATCTGCAAATCTGGTATTTACACTGGCTGTGTATGGGAACTATGTGGGTTTGGTGACAAGAAATGGGATCTTGGGTCTGCATTTTCTAAAGCATTCTAGCTTGGTAGTTGCTAGAGTGGTTAATTGCGTAGTTCTTTAATTGTATAGCTCTTCTAAATTGTTGAGTGTGCTGAATCTTTTTCAACATGTGTAGGAGCACCTTACCAAGCAGGGAATGAAGGCAGAACATGCTGCATCTCTCACTGAATTGGCCTCAGGCAAGTGCAGCTCAGTGAAGTATGATGTGGAAATAGCAGAGGAGTATTTTGCTCGGCAGGTAGGCTGGTGTGAATGCTGCTACCTGGAGCATCTTTTTTCTGTGCTATGACTTGCACTCACAGTTCCATCACTTTGTATTTTAAGATATCCTCTTTCTGTGGCGTGGACTGCACCACTATTCTTCAGCTGCATGAAGTTCCCAGTTTACAGTCCATTTACACCCTCGATGCTGCAATTTCCAAGATCCAGGTTTCTCTAGATGAGCACTTTTCCAAGCTAGCTGCAGAAACGGATCCACAAAAATCTTCGGAAATAACCAAGAACCTCTTGCCTGCTACACTGCAGCTTATTGACACTTACGCTACATTTACCAGGTATTGCCCTTAGCACCTCTGGTTAGATTATGGCTTCCTTCTGTGCACAGGGCTCTGTTTTTTAGAGGTGGGTGCCTTATTTACAATCCAGTATATTTATCCTAACTTATGTTATCTATAATATTGAATATTAAAACAAACAAAAACCAAAAACAACAGTAGCTTCTCAAGCACATATGTGTAGTTGTTATTTCTCAGTAATCTACTTGTCTGATTTTTGAGGGCTTTCTTGCAAGCTTGCAAAAAACAGCTTTTCTTCATCTCATTTTGCCAAGGAGGGTTGCCAAGGAGTGTTAATTCTAAAAGTGAGAGTCTGAGGTCTTCTAAACTCTCTTTGGCTCCGACATAGTAAAACACAAAAGTAAATCATTTTTTCTTTTGGGCAGCTGCTCCTGGTGAGTGGCTGAGAGGAGATAAAAGCCCTTAGCGATATCCCATGAAGCAGGGAGCAGACGTCTGAAGTTTACTTTCTGATTTATCCCCGCGTCGGCACGCCTGGTTTTGAAATGCTGTCTCCTGAAATGAATCCCTTTCATGCTGAATGCAGATCCTACTTGCTGCGGAGCCTCTCTGAAGAGGGCTCCCCTGAGAACAAACCTTCTGAAGAGAAGCTGCGAGGTTATGCTGCTGTCCTGGCGATTGGATCCAGCCGCTGCAAGTCCAATACCCTGGGTGAGAGTAGTTTAGATGTCCTTTTGTACACGGCTGAGGCTTTCTGCAGTCTTGCCAATGTTGACTTCAAAGCTGTGCGCTGCCTCATGCTTTCTCTTTCTCTACCCCTTGCCTCAAATCAGTGTGTCACCCTGTTAGCAGCCGACCGGGTGTCTTTTCCTTTCAGTATGGTAGCAGCTGTAAAAGAGAGGAGACCTTGAAAGACTAACTATCTTGTGGGATTATCTGTCTTCCAAATGCTTTTAGAGCCATGTCAATGCTCCAGCAGCAAAGTGTGACATAATATAGAGAATTCTGAAATACTCATATGCCCAAGACTGTTGTGTATTAATGCTTTTTTCTTGTTTACTGTTGCCCTCTTAAGGCAAAAGAAGCTGCAAAGCTCACACAACCTTTAGTGGTAATTTTGACTTGTAGGAAAGCGTGAAACTAGCCTTCAGCAGAATTAGAGCTCAAAGAAACTTCACTATTTCTCTATGATCAAGACAGTTATGACTAACTCAAGTTGGGATCCAGTTTCAAACAGTGTCTTAGCAGCATTCCAGTTTTTCATGAATATCCATGAAACTACTCAATGACTTATGTGCCTGTGTTGACTACAGGTCCAACACTCGTTCAGAATTTGCCATCAGCCGTGCAGACTTTATGTGAATCATGGACCAACATCCATACAAACGAGTTTCCCAACATTGGCTCGTGGGTGAGTCCTACTGTGTGGATAGATCCGACCTAATCCCAACTCCCCAAGGGGCTGTGAGGCAGGGTATGTGCTTTTCAGTTTAAAGATACCTACTTCTGGTTTTCTTCTTGTTGTTTTTGTCTCCGTTCCCAGCGCAATGCCTTTGCAAACGACACGATCCCCGCAGAGAGCTACATCAGCGCGGTGCAGGCCGCGCACCTCGGCACGCTGTGCAGTCAGAGTCTGCCTCTTGCAGCCTCCCTCAAACACACCCTCCTCTCCCTGGTCAGGCTCACCGGGGATCTCATCGTGTAAGCAACTCTTTTTAGGTTTATTCTAGATGGATAGTTTTCTCTTCTGAATTTCTGTCTTCATCTGACTCTCTTGATAGAGCACTGCCTGAACTGGGATGTGTATTTTGAACAAAGCCTTTAGTTGAAATATTTTCATTGTAAAGTTCTAAATTCAAAAATGAATGAAAAATAGCTATGCTGTCTCTATCAGATAGTGAACATCCTGAGAGAAATCTGTAGTGTCTCTTGCAGAAGCAGCACACAAAAAACTGGAATATCAACTGTGACGATACCAATCTAATTAATTTGTATTTTTTTTTACTGCTCAGCTGTGTGACATTTTCAAAGCACGGGGAAGAAATGAAATGAAAGCATTTATTTTCCCGTGACTAATTTTAAGATGTTTTTAAATAAACTGGGTACTGACAACGCAGACATACCTGAAAGCTATAGGACTAGGATAGGATGCCTAGGAGAATGTTGAAGCTGTATATATACAAAAAAAAAAAAAAAAAAAAAAGGCAAAATCTTGGAAATGAGAACTTTGCCAAGTTTTGCCAAGGGAAAAATGGTTGACACAGTATATTTACCCCTCCTTTTTGAAAAGGGCTTTTAATTTGCTCTTCCGTCTGGACTTGTCATACTTGTGTGACTTTTATTCAGTAATGAAACTTCTTTGCTGTATCATGTAGATCCTTATCTTTGGTTGTTTTGTTTGTGTTTTCAAGGTGGTCAGATGATTTGAACCCACCACAGGTGATTCATTCTCTACTGCCCCTTCTTTTGGAGAGCAGCACAGAGAGCGTGGCAGAGATAAGCAGCAACTCCCTGGAAAGGATCTTGGGCCCTGCAGAATCGGATGAATTCCTTGCACGTGTTTATGAAAAACTGATCACAGGCTGCTATAACATACTGGCCAGTCACTCAGACCCAAACAGGTAGTAAGTAATCCTCTTTCAACCAAGCTGCATACAAAGCTGCAAAGAGAATTACTACAATATTTTAAAATACCACTATAGTTTCTAAAGCAGCACAACAGCACAAATAAGCTGTCAAAAACAGCTTATTTTCATCTCTTGAAAGACTACTGTACTTGCTGATCCAAGTTTCGATTTGGGCAGTGTGGATTTTAGGCATTTGTTGTAACTCTGAATGGATCACATGATCAGGATACTTTTTGATGTAAGCAAATATAAAATTAGGAAATAGAAGTGCAAAATCAGAGCTGGAGATGTCAACCTGGCTTGCTTCGTAGTCCTTTGTCTCTCTCTTGCCCTTATTTGGATGCCTAATCCCTCTGTATAATGGCAAACTAGACAGATTCCTGCTTCCCTCCCCTTGCTTGCTGTGTGTATAGAGAGAATAAACTTGATGCACAGATGTTGAATCCGCCAGTCTGGACTGTAACACTCTTAGATGTGATGATACTGCATCTTGTTAACACTGATCCCCTCTGGATAGCTGGTATTCAGAAGGAGTTCTACCATGCCTTGTGGCAGAGAATGTAAACATAATTGGATTTTACTTGTGGGTTGCATTGTGGAGTGCGGATGAACAGAGGAGTAAAGCTAAAAGAGACTTGAGTGTAAAAAGAGCCACCAGTTAGAGGAATTTGTAATGCAACACGTCTGAGAGGTCTAGATTATTACAGGATTCCGACTGTGTATCTTTCCTACAGCATCATCCACTGTTTTTTTTTTTTTCTCTGATCATTTGGTGGATTTGTTGGTATTTGTATCATGGTAGTTGATTAGGTTTTTGTCTCCTGCCTCTCGGAAGGAGAATTGCTTTCAGCTAGCAGAGGGCTTATTTAGAATTTTGTTTTGTTTAGAATCTTGGTCATTTCTCAGCTGTCAGGATTGTTGAAAATGTTGAGATTTTGCTTATAGACTCCTAGTTAATAGGCATTTTTGTTCCTCAGTGGCCTGGATGAGACCATCTTGGAGGAATGTTTGCAGCATCTGGAGAAACAGCTGGAGAGCAGCCAGGCCCGAAAAGCCATGGAGGAATTCTTTTCAGAAAGGTAAGGCCATCCTGCAAGTTGTAGGCCAAGGACTTTATATCTCTTTTTTTTTCTCTTAGCTTTCATCCTTGACACTTAGGTTACAGCCTTGATACAGGAAAATACAGAGTTTTGTAAGGACAGGGCACTTTTTTGTGTGACATTTTAGTGACATTTTATTTCCCCCTTCCAACAGTGGAGAATTGGTCCAGATCATGATGGCGACAGCCAATGAGAACCTCTCAGCCAAGTTTTGTAACAGGGTGCTGAAATTCTTCACCAAGCTCTTCCAGCTAAGTAAGTGCTTGCACTCACTGTCTGCATCGTGCCTCTGTCCACCTGATGTTGTTCTTGTGCTAGAGTTTGCAATAGGAAGGTGCTAGAGAGAGAGAAGCTCTGAAAGGAAGTGACAGCTTCACACTTTCTCCTGTTGTGTTCGTGTTTTGCTCTTTTCTACTCAGCTGCACTTTTTTCTTTCTTTGTCCGTGTAGTTTAGCTCTGGGAGAAGATCGATGGGCTTTTTGTGCTCACAATGCTTGTGTAGAAATAATTACATCTTGGAGAAATGCCTTAGGCTCTTCATAGCTGATGATTTATCACAGCAAAGGCAGGAGTTTGAGAGAAGCTAGCAAAGGAGCAAAATTGAGGCTGACTTTCTGAGCAGCCCTTAGCTTCATACTCTCTGTGTGAACATGTGGAGTCTATCCTGTTTTGCACTGGGTACAAGTCCGAATGAAGCATTTTGTGTCTGAGTGAGATCAGGAACAGAGGGAAAGCCATTTTTGAAAACATCCTATTAGACCTTTGCTGTCTCTCACTGGTGATTTTTTTCCTTAGCTGAGAAGAGTCCCAACCCCAGCCTGTTGCGACTTTGTGGCTCTTTGGCTCAGTTGGCTTGTGTGGAACCTGTGCGCCTGCAGGCCTGGCTAACGCGCATGACCATGTCACCACCCAAAGACTCGGATCAACTGGACGTTGTTCAAGAGAACAGGCAGCTGCTGCAGCTCTTGACAACTTACATTGTGCGGGAAAACAGGTATGAAGCACAGCCTTTGTCACTGGTGCACTGGTAATTCGATTTGCTCTGTAGATAGGCAAATTAATTATGAGTTGCTTTCCAATGGAGTAATAATGGTGTGGCTGTTTAAGTGCCTCTCACAGTGTAGGGTTTAGTTTTACTTGAGTGGGTGACACATCTGCAACTTTCTTCTTGACCAGCCAAGTCGGAGAAGGCGTGTGCACCGTCCTGCTGAGCACTCTCATCCCGATGGCAACCGAAATGTTGGCCAACGGTGACGGGGCCGGCTTTCCGGAGCTCATGGTGGTGATGGCCACTCTGGCCAGCGCAGGACAAGGAGCGGGACATCTGCAGCTTCACGGTGCTGCTGTTGATTGGCTAGGCAGATGGTAAGAGCAAACTCTTCTCCACTCTTGATAATTTAAGCAATTACTGCATTGATACATTCCTATTGCTCATGGAAAGCAAACTAAGTGCTTGATGCTATTGTGGTTTATATTGAGTTTATACTGCCCAAAGATTGTTATTTATAACTGCTTTTTTTTCTCTCTCCTGTTACAGCAAGAAATACTTGTCTCAAAAGAATGTGATAGAGAAAATGAATGCCAACGTCATGCAGGGGAAGGTGAGACTCATGTCTGTTACTCGGTTTGGGGAAGTACAGCTCATTCCTGAGATTTGTTGGCTGGCCTGCTCTGATGGTGGGAGTTGAAATGAGCGTGACTGGTCTGTGTGTGTTTGTGTGCATTATGTTTTCCTGCCTTAGAGCAGCTACTGTGAGATAGCGACGTGTCGGTGTTGATTCTCATTTTTGCTGCTCTTTGCTTATAGCACGTTACTATCCTGGAGTGTACGTGCCATATCGTCTCCTACCTGGCCGATGTCACGAACGCGCTGAGCCAGAGCAGTGGCCAAGGGCCGAGTCATCTTTCTGTTGACGGAGAAGAACGGGCTATTGAGGTGGATTCAGACTGGGTAGAAGAGTTGGCTGTGGAGGAGGAAGACTCTCAGGCTGAAGATTCAGTAAGTGATAATTACAATTAATGCTGCAAATGAGATGAGCATTTCTGTTGCAGCTTCCTGAGCAGAGTGGTTCAGGTTATAAATTAAAATATTTTTGTCTGTTCC